TATTTAGATTTATCTGGTATTGACTTATGTAGTTCTCTCCCTTTATTTAGACCGCTTGTTTTTCACCGTAGTAGTTCTAGCTATACCCTGAGAAGTGGAAAGATTTCTTATACTACTTGTAGAGATATCTTAAGGGATACCTTAAGTCAGCTGGGCCTCAACCCCAGTGATTATGGTCTTCATAGTTTAAGATCTGGTGGTAAAAAAAACAAACAACAACAACAACTTTGTAATATCTTTTTTTTTTTGCAGTCCACTCTGTATTAGTAACTATCTTATAATAAACTGTTTTGGACCCACTTGCGCATCCTACCATATTTCTCGTGTGATTTGTTTGTATTATGGGAATTTAAGGGTAAAATGATTTACGTTTGTTTGAGCGAAGCGAATTAGAACGTAAACTGCTTTAAATTTGTGTACCATTGTGCGTATAACAACACTGACTGGCTCTGCGAAAAACAGTGAATTTTGTTTCCCCTCGACCTGAGTGTTGTCATCTGCTTTGCGTCAGGGAACAGTGAGGGTCTCTGGGAAACAAAACTCGCTGTCTCCTGTGGAGCCAGTCATAAAGTACTTATTGTCACTCTTACTTTAATTAACCTATCTGTGCACAAAAGTAATGACAAAAAAATTTACTGTTAACTGGTCACTTTGCTGGCCATTTCTTGTTTTATTATCTTCAGACACATTTGCCAGCAGCTGTTACTTCTGCTTTTTTACCGGGCATTAGGATGATACTGTTAAGAAAGAAAGAAATGCATGGTTACTCAGTTACTTATCTTATTCGCGTGATCCTTCATATCTCTGGGTATTTCCGTTTCTTCCGTCCCCTCTATGTTTGCTATTACAGCTACATAACTTTTGACATTCTGTTCAAATAAACAGTTTGAAATTGTACCCTTTCCCCCTGGGATGACTGCAGCCTCCTTATGGAGGTGTTCGTCTTATGGAGAGTTTGATTCACAACTTTTCACTGATAGTATTTTTGAGGCTTTGATAACTGTCTAATAAGATTTCATCACTTACCTGACCTTTATCTTTTGTGGGTTTACGGAAGATTCTAATTGGAATAATATTTTCCCCTGCTTCCGCACACCCCTCCATTTCATGTTGCACACCCTGTGTGATTGGCTTGTCACTGTGACATTGCCCCTGTCTACTTTCCATGTGAAAGAGAACACATTTTCCTCTCTCAAGTGCTCAGCTTCCTCAACATTATTTTGTTTGAAAAATAAAATTTAGGTTGAATCCACTGTTCAGACAATTGATAACAGGACTTTGTGTTGTCCAGTCTGGTCTGTAATAATACTCTTTATTACTGAACAAATAAGACTCCCACTTTGCAGTCGTCCAATTTGTTCATCACTCGTATGATTAAGACCAGTTGGGCTCCGCTTAGTCCCTTTTCCTTTACAAATCAATTGCTTTATTGATGACAAAAACTGAAGGATTAAATGATGGTGTGATTGAGTGTTTGATTAAGTGATTGATCTATCCACCAACAGATTCATTGATTGCTTGACTGATAATTATAACCATTTTAAAATGACTTAATCTATTATTTAGGGAACAATATACCCTTATACAAAGTGAGACTGTGTGTTCTGAATCATTTAATACCTTCTGGCCAGATAGTTGAAGACATAGTTTCCGTATTTCGCCCTTGTATAACACTGAGTGGCTTAGAGCACATGAGACCATGTGGTCCTCCCAAATGGCCCTCCGGAACATCAAGTTGCATCTTTTGACTTTGCAAGTTACAATCTTCAGTGGACATGAACTAAAGTGGAATGTAACCTGACTCCTGCAACCATGAAAGTACACAATCAAGTTCTGTTCAATATATAAAGTTAAATCTCACAAAGCAAAGAATGAATGCAAGTTACGTATGCGATTGTAACTGGATAAATTCTGGAATGAAGTGGGAACATTTTAGTTCTTTTTCCCATCCAAACCACAAAGTCCAAAACTTGAACAAAAAATAGCTTTACTTACTGTTCTTGATTGGTAGGACGGTCAATATCCAAAGGAGTCGTCACACAGAGCAATTGATTTTCCTTTTTAATTTCATGTTGGAATGAACTGCGAGGTCTCACAAATTTCAACATGTCATCCTTTTCTTAATTCACGTGTCAAGATGTGCCCATGATACAACAAAGCGGTAAATTCATCAAAATCACCAGGGCGACGAGTTAATCATTAAGTGGCTAAATTATTACAATTTTTCAATTCTTAACATCCCCCTCCTGAATGCAATCGATGCATTTGCCGGCTAAAAACATGCATAAAATCCAAAGTGCATGGGGGTGGTATGACAACTGTCATAGACTGTTTTTAATAAAGTTCAAAAATTCAAATCATCTTGTCAAATCAATGTTCCTATCAAGGTTCTGGGTATCAAAGCATCAATGACTGTCCCTTTATCAATCAGACGCAATTGCGGCATTACAGTAAAACGTTTAATGACTTTCATTCTTCACCACTGTCTTCCACATACTCCAGGGGACAGAGGCGATGAACAGGACGCAAGTACTCCTTGTTTTTCGTCTTGACTTTAACAACTCTCACTAGACCATCATCCATGGTGTACGCTTCAATTACACGACCGAAAGGCCACTCTCCTCTGCTTGCATTTGTCTCCACAATCAGTACAACATCACCTTCCTTCAAGCTGTGTCTTGCATGAAACCATTCCTTTCTAACATTAAGGCTGGGCAGAAACTCTTGTCTCCAACGTTTCCAGAACTGTCTTAGAAGTTGCTGTACGCAGTGCCACCGTTTCCTGGGGTTGTAGGTTTGCTCGTGGTTAAGTGCTTCAGGGGCAAATGGTCTTCCAATCTCTCTGACAAGGAAGTGGCTTGGAGTGAGTGGCGAGAGGTCATTGGGATCTGAACTGACATAAGTTATTGGTGGGGAATTCAACAATCATTCTGCGCCACAGATAGCTGTGTGAAGCTCTTTGTTGGTAACATCTGCATCTCCAAGGATGGCTTTGATTGCTTTCTTTGCACTTTTGATCAATGCCTCAAATACAGCACCAAAATAGGCAGCAGATGGAGGGTTAAACTTCCAGTCAGTGGGGTGATATTTGCTGGTTTCTTGCATAATTCTGTCTGCATCAAGGGACTCCACCAACTCCCACAGTTCACGCTCTGCTCCAACGAAGTTGGTTCCATTGTCAGAGATAATGTAGGTCGGTGTCCCCCTCCTTGATGTCATCCAAGTAAATGCGATAACAAACGAGTCAGTGTCTAATGAGTAGGACATTTCCAAATGAACAGCTCGGGTTGTAAGGCAAGTGAGAAGACACAGGTAACGCTTGGCTCTCGTGCTACCACATCCTTGTTTCATCAAGAATGGACCTCCATAATCAACACCAACTTTTTCAAATGCCCTTAGTGAAGACTGTAATCTTGATTTGGGTAAGGGGGCCATCATCTGACTGCCTATCTTCTTGGTAAAATGATGTCGACATTCAGCACAAGCCTCGGTTACGTTTCACACCATGCGCCGTCCCTTTTCAATCCAGATAAGACTTCATAACTCAGTCAGAACTTGCTCAACTCCAGCCCCATGGCCCAGTCTTTCATGGGCGTCAGTGACGACTAGTCTTGTTACAGGGTGGTCCTTTGGTAGGAGGATAGGGTGTCTTGTGCTGTATGGAAGCTCATCTGCGAAATGCAAGCGTCCAGCCATCTGAAGTAACCCATCACTGTCATTCTTAGGGTTCAGTCAAGTCAGTGACCCTTCGTTTTCTCCACCCAGGAAGGCTTGGGCTTGGGCTTACTTAATCCAGAAGGTCTCTGCTTCCGATATCTCGGTAGGCAGGAGGATTCTGTCTTTCCTTCGTAAATTCATTGGGAGTCTGCAATTGGCCAGGAATCACCGAACCCATCCTGTCACATGAACCAGACGCTTGAGGCTTGAGAATTTGTTCGGGTCAATCCCGGCGTGATCAATCGATGAAACCGATAATCGATAACAATCGATGGCAATCGATATCAATTGATAACAA